TTGTGTTTAACTTTAATTTACTTAAATTTATCTAAAAAGGGAGTTAAAGTGCTTTATAGTTTGGTAATTTAATAGTTGGTTAATGTTATTTAGATTATGATTATTATTTGTTAACCCTGTGAATAGCTCTGGGAAGTGGGGGGGAGGGGGGTTGGGGGTGGGAGGGGGATAATATTGTATATAAAACTTTTAATAAAAAAAAGAATACTTTTTTAGAAAAGAGATGGTGATGAAGCCGAATTGGTGGACCTATGGTAAAATAATATCTTTTAATTTGGGTGAGCCTACCCTGAAATCCAAGGAGGTCATGTTTGCCATTGGTTTACATATATGCAATTGAAAGAAAGATTTAAGTTAGATAAAAAGAATCATGGGTTTAGTTTTGTTAAAAATGAATTGGAAATCCTACTGTGCGGTAGTGATGAACATATTATTGCTAAAATTTATAAAATTTTATTGAATTTAAATTTGGAAAATGAACAAGTAAAACATTGTATGACTCAGTGGGCAAGGAATTTTGGGTATAATATAATCCTTGAACAACGGGAGAATATGTGGAATAAAGGATTAAAATTTACATTAAATTATAATTTAAAAGAAAAATTTTACAAGATGATGTACTGTTTGTACTTAACACCAGAAGTTACCAAAAATGTGTAAAGGTATTTCAAATGAATGTTGGAAAGGTAAAGGGGGGTCTTTTCACCATTTATGGTGGACATAGCAAGAAAATATTGGAATAGGATTCATATGTTAATACAGAAAATTCTTAAAGTGAATATAGAAAGAAAACTAGAGACTTTTCTTTTGGGGCTAATGGACAAAGACCTGGAAAAAAATATATGGAACTTTGATGTTATATATGTTGACAGCAGCAAGACTACGTTCAGAAATAGAAGACTACATCGACTCCCACAATGGAAGAATGGTTGCAAAAACTGTTGGACCTAGCAGAGATGGCTAAACAGACTGTACTGATTAAAGAAAAGAATACAAATGCTTTTATTGTTACATGGAAACCGCTTCTAGACTTTGTGCTTGAGGTAGAAAAAAATGAAATTTTGATTTTGGGTTTTACCAGTTAGACAGACTTGATATTATCAAAATGGCTAGTTTATATTATTTTGTAAAAGTAAAAAGTGAGGTTTGATGTTGATATTCTACTTTCCTGCACCAAAGGAAGTCGGAAGTCAATGCCTTTTTCTTTTTTTCTCCCTTACTTCACTTTTCTACTCCCTTTTCCTTTCCCTATCTTTTCCGCTATTTACTTTTGTATTTTGATTGTATCGTACATTATAAACTAATAAAAACTTTTGAAATCCCAAAGTCTCAACATCTTTTTTGTAATATGGTGATCAAAATTGGTTGCAATATTCCAGGTGTGGTCTTACTAGGGTTTTATAAAGCAATATTAATACTTTGCATAATCTTGATTCTATGCCTCTGTTTATACAACCCTGGATTGTTTTAGCTTTTTTGGCTGCTGCTGCATACTACTGGCCCATATTCAAGTGATCATCCACTAGGACTCCAAGGTCCCTCTCACAGTTACTGTTTTTGAGCCAGGTCTTGCCTAATCTGTACCTGTACCTTTGATTTTTCCTGCCTAAATGGAAAACTTTGCTTTTTTCCACATTAAAATTCATTTTATTGGATAGGGCCCATTGTTCAAGTTTGTCAAGATCTTTTTGGATCCTGAGCTTGTCTTCTGGGGTGTTGGCTATTCCTGCCAGTTTAGTGTCATCTACAAATTTGATGAGTTCCCCATATATTCCCTCATTTAAGTCATTTATGAAGATATTGAAGAGTACTGGGCCTAAGACGGAGCTTTGTGGTACCCCACTGCTTACTTCCTCTTTAATAGCCTCTGACTCATTGTTTTTCAATCCAAAATTTTCTAGATTTTTTGCACATCTACCAAACATGATAAAATGGCCCTTTTTGTAATTCCCATTTTCAATTTGAAATTCCTTTATATTTTCCGGTGTCATATATCAATGGTACATAATTTTACAAAAATTAAGGTTATAACATACAATTTCAGTCTTTTCAACCATATTTTTATCTGTATATTATAACCTGGAATTTTAGCTCATTTTATCATATATACATTAATTCAGGGCTTTTCAACCTTTTTCACCCATTGTACCACTTTTAGGATATGGCAACATCCGAGTACCACCAGTCGCCTAACAAGGTGTTAAAAACTTGACAAAAAAAAAAAAAGGAAAAAAGCGATGAAGTACAGGTAGTCCTTGACTTACAACAGTTCACTTAATGACTGTTTGAAGTTACAGTGGCACTGAAAAAAGTGCCCCCCAAGCCACAGCCGAGCAAGATTCCTGCCTGCCCACCCGGCGGTGCTCTTCTTCCTGTCCGAGGTTTTCATTGTTGTGAGCATTTCTGTTGAGGATTGGCAGCGGGGGTGGGGTGGGGGTGTGTTTGGTTTTTATTCCCCCCGTCTGCCTGGTGGTTGCAGCAGGTTTTGGTCACTTCACATGACTCTGGGACACTGTGACCGTCATAAATATGAATCAGTTGCCAAGCATCTGAATGTAAATCACAAGACCCTGGAGATGCTGCAACATTCCAGTTGATCGGAGCTTCTTCTGGGCTCAGCAGAAGCGCCAGGATCAGCGCCGAGCTCCAGCTGGAGCCTGGCGCTGATCCTGGTGCTTCCACTGAGCCCTGACAGTCCTGAAGAAGTGCCAATCAGCTAGAAAGCGGCACTGATCCTGGCGCTTCCGCTGAGCCCTGACAGCCCCGAAGAAGCGCCGATCAGCTGGAAAGCGGCACTGATCCTGGCGCTTCCGCTTGTGCAGTGCTGCCACCAGTTCAGCTCATTCCCCTCCCCGCTACCACTTTTCTAGGATGGTCGCGTACCACCTGCCAGGTGCCAATGTACCACAGGTGGTACCCGTACCACTGGTTGAAAAGCCCTGCATTAATTTGTTCTTCTGTTTCAAATTTCAATAAAAGTTTATACATTTTAGCAATCACATGTTCATAATTTGTATACAATTCTATTTCAAAATCAATCTAACAATGTTCAATACCAAAAATTATTTATCTACTTTAATTTTTTCCAGTAAAGAAGAAAACCATTGATAATTATGTCCCTTGGTCATCAGTTGTTCTCTTGATTCTACAAGATCCTGCTATTTTCTTCAGAATGAGAAAAGCAGCATTCCAGTGTTGCATTACAAGTATGGCCTCTTTCAGTGTACATGCAACACTGTAACACACAGAAAGAGAGCATGAGTTGGATTGCAATATACTGTGATACTGATTTTGTAGGTTTGAGCCTGAGGCATTTTCAGGCTTCTGCTTCACTGTTTACCTTTGCTAGGTCCTTTTGGTGCAACATTCATTTTCTTTTCTTCCATTTTGGATTCATGCTCAATAGGGCCTGGTGCAAATTGTCCTTCAGAAGGAGTTTTATCATAAATATAGGATCCTGCTCCTCCAATATTTACACCTGAAAATTGAACAGGAAAAGAAACCTGATGTCAAAGCTTCTTATGCCACAAGCTCTCAGCCATATTCACATATTTTGATGAAATCAAGTGAGGTCATGAGCAATGTTGATCACTCTTCTTTCTGTCAATGGTTCATTACATCATTTCTTTAATCTCACAGATTAAAGAAATCTCTCTTTCTCTCCCAAAACCTTGCTTTTACATCTCAGGAAACTTTGCTACAACAGAAAGGCCTATGATTTTCCAGCCACACAAAATTAGACAACTTTGGCTGGTCTGAAGGAGAATTAAGTTCAGAACAAGAAGCTGAGAGAGGAAGGAAGAGTGACTGCAATTTACCAATACTGAACTAAATTGCCAACTTACCAGGAAGGGACACATACCTTTTGGTCCAAACAGCATTGCATAACAAGGTTTGTGACAGTAAGGCTTACTGTCATGCTAAAATAGAAAAATGCCAAGAATTAGGCTACAAAGATATTGAAAGTTATAATTTGCTTCAAGCAGGTGCATCATTTCATTAATCACTAGATCAAAACCTGAGGGTCCTACATATTACACAAGGACCTCCGCCTTTAATAATTATGGGCAGCATTTCAGTTCCTTGCTTTACAAATGTTATCTACTCTTTCATTCAGAGTAGGATGACTCTAGTAACATTTAAAAATAAAATGGTCATAAGTCATTTTTTTCAGTGCTATTGTAACTTCAAACAGTCCCTAAACAAATAGTTGTAAGTCAAGCATGACCTGTATGTTACTTAATTTTATTTACTTTTAAATAATTAATCAATTGTTTACTTTTAAATAATTAATCAAGACTTCCGGTTTGAATCCCGGCGCCGATGGCGGCTTTTCTCCGAGCCGCCCGCCCCAAGGATGCGTAAGAGTCGCAGGAGCAGCGCCTAACAGCTGCTCCGCGGCTCGGAATCCCCTTCCCCGGGCAAAGGGGAGGGGGGGAGCTTCCCTGATAGGGGTAGAACTCCCGAGCTCTCACAGTTTCACAGCTGTGGGGGTGAAGGTGAGTTCCCCCGGAGTCAGGGACTTCTCCGCACTTCGGGCTGCCTCCGTTCCGGTGAACGAAGCCAGACGCGGATTCAACCTCTGCTTATGGGAGATCGTGAGTAAACTTTTATGAGCAGACAGAGCGATCCAGGAGCTTGGAAGCTGGAAGGATTTGAGCCTTTAGCTCTGAAGTTAATAAGGCTTCTCCACTGATATTTTAAGTTAAAGAAGAAAGGGAAAAAAAAATAGCCGCGGAAGGGCGTTTTGCTCTTTGACAGAGACTTTTACTTTCTGGGGACTTTCAATTCTACTTTCACTTTCTGCTGGATTACTATTGTATCAGATTTGCTTGTACTGTTGCTGGGCAAGCCATTTGCTTCTGTTTCTGGTGGCAGTTTCTATAAAAATTTATTGGACATTATATTATATAAATAAAATTAGAGAAGAGAAGAGAAAGTAAAATGGTATCAAAGCGTGGGGGAACTTTTGCTCCTCAGAAAAGCTCGAGCTCTTCCCCAGCTGTACAAACATCACAGCAGACAAAACCTACTCCCCTGCCCTCTCCTCCAATGCCAGCCTTAACATTGAAAGATTTACAAGATGCCCTGAAGGACACTGCCAAACAGATTAGATGTGAAATGGATGAACTGCTTGAAAAGAAACTTGAGGAGAAACTTGAAGAAAAAAATGTTGAGATGAGAGATGATATAGTGTTTGCACTGCAAGGTTTGGCTGGCCATGTAGAACGCATTGAAGAGCGTGTGGAAGAAGTGGAGGAACATGTTGAAATTTTGGAAATTAGATTGGGGAAAGTGGAAGAGAATACTGATATAAATCAGAATGAGATTCTTATGTCACAATTTAGAGAAATGGAACATACCTTGAGAATAAGAGGACTGAGGGAAAATGTCCAAGAAAAATTGGAGGAGGAAATTGCAGCAGAATTGGCCTTGGTTCTGTCCTGCCAACCTGAAGAAATTATGAGAGAAATGGAAAAAATTTTCAGAGTTAACTCATGGGTTGCGAGACAGAGAAACCTTCCAAGAGATGTTGTTATTTACTTTTCAAGAAAATCAATCCGTAATGAAATTATTCAAGCTTTTTACAAACAGAGATTTCAAATTTTAGGACAAGACGTGATAATTTTAAAAGAAATACCACCCAAGATACTTAGAAGAAGAAAGGATTTTGCTTTTTTGGCTGAAGAATTGAAAGTGAGACAAATACATGGGATATACCAGCTGGTATAATGGTTAATTATATGGGCATACGTTATCGGCTTAATACAGTGGCAAAAGCAAAAGATTTTTACAGTTCAATTTTGAAAGCAGGTTCATCAGTGTCTCCACAAGGTATTAGGAAGGAAAGAATTCCTGAAGATAAAGACACTCAAGGAGCTACATTATCATCAAGCGTTACTAATTTACAAGATCAAGTTCAAGCTGAGTTACAACTTTTGGAAATTAAAGATGATCCAAAATCACAGAGATTGACCCGTGCAGCTCACAGACGTAAAGAAAGAGAGCAACGAAAAGTGGATGCAGTACCCATAGTGCAGCAAGTAACTTCAGAGTCAGTGGGAGGAGCGAGACCAAAGAGATCAGTGACGGCTGATTTGCAAGGGGCGTTCCTGAGGCTCTCTGCCACTAAAGATGGCAAGGTTCCTGACATGGAATGTTAATGGCTTGAATTCACCGCAGAAAAGAAAAAAGATATTTTACTATTTGAAGCAACATAAAAATGATGTTGTTTGCTTGCAAGAAACTCATATTACAGCGAAAGATCAA